TAGTGGTCACTGTTTTGAAGCATTGTATCCCAAGATCAGAAATTCATAACTTGGAATTATACATTTGGCTGAGAGCAGAGTCTCCTTTCTTTATGTAACTTGCACTTCACCTCTTCCCTACCTGAGGGAGTTTGTAATACCTTCTCTAGAGTTCTGTGATTTTCTCTATTTCCTTGTGACTCTAGATTTGTAGGCCTCCCTTTACAATTTCATATGTTAGACATACAGGCAATGGTTAAGATAGTGACCCCATGGTGGGACAGGGCTGAGACAAAGGCTCAGGCCACAAAACAATCCCCCCAGCACAACAGGATTTGGTTTGAAACATGATGTTTTACTTCTCTATGCTTGGTGCTCTTTTTAAAATACCCATCATGGGACACTGATAAAGCCAGGAATTAGAATGTTTGCATAAAATGAGAACTTATTATCAAGAAATAAAGCCTTATAAGCCCTCTAGCATTACTTATTTTTGGTCGAGTAAACTTACTAATTTGTGTGGTTGCATTTGGAAATACACCATCAGTTTTTCCACTAACTCTTCTGTAGACAATATCTCTGACATGTGGGTTAGGGCAACAAACACTGCTACAGAGCTCCAACAATTCACTACCAAATGTAGAGGGAAAACTTTACTGTCATATGATGAAACATATGTGCTAGCAATTTTCAAGTGTGTCCAAGTCACAATATAATTTTGTGGCTATCAGCAAAATTCATTGTTTATACAAACCAGGACATTTCAAACGGATCTGCTTTCCTCATCTTTTTCTCTCACATTATTATGAAACAAATAATCTCCAGTATTACCCTAACAACTCCCTTCCAGTTCTTTCAAAGGCAAAAAAATCTATTTTTTATTTTTATTCCTAATCTTTCAAAGTAATAATTTACTGATTTTGAGGTAATTGCAAATGGATTAAGTTATTGTATAAGGAGCCATGTGCTTATTGATTTGTTGGCTGAAAATATAGATGAATGGAAGATTTTTCCCCATCCATGACTTTAATAGATTATAGATACTTGATATGACTGGAGGTATTCCCTCCTCCGCTTTCTCCCATTATGACGTTTAAAGAGTATAAACAATGCTTGACAGAAGTATGTGTTAAATGTCATTTGCTCAGAAATTATCTTAAATCTCTTCATTTCTAGTATATGTGAGGCCGAAGCGAGCACAAGTCTGTTCATTTCTAAAACCTTAGTAACGTCCTTGAAAGGACCAATGGCCACAAGTCTGTGAACATATACACTTACTTTCCTGCTTAAGAAGTTTTGAGAATACCAAATTGATCTAGTTACTCATATTCAAAGAAAGGCTCATGAAACTAGATATTAGTGGTTGGATAAGAAAAACATCTGATGGAAGGATTGTATGCAAATGAAGGATGCAAATACTGATTTTCTATTGGTTAGCTTTCTTAGCCAATGGGAGAACTGCACAAGCCATTCTTTAGTAAGTATAAATACTTCTCGTGTTGTCCCTCTTGCCATACTCTATTTGAGCATTCTTTTCGGATCAACTTTTTTCTGGGAAGATAAACGATGTCTGGACGCGGCAAGCAGGGCGGCAAGGCTCGCGCCAAGGCCAAGACGCGCTCGTCCCGCGCCGGGCTGCAGTTCCCCGTGGGCCGCGTGCACCGCCTGCTGCGCAAGGGCAACTACGCCGAGCGCGTGGGCGCCGGCGCCCCGGTCTACCTGGCGGCGGTGCTCGAGTACCTGACGGCCGAGATCCTGGAGCTGGCGGGCAACGCGGCGCGCGACAACAAGAAGACGCGCATCATCCCGCGCCACCTGCAGCTGGCCATCCGCAACGACGAGGAGCTCAACAAGCTGCTGGGCAAGGTGACGATCGCGCAGGGCGGCGTGCTGCCCAACATCCAGGCCGTGCTGCTGCCCAAGAAGACCGAGAGCCACCACAAGGCGAAAGGAAAATAATTCGAAAAGCTTCCACGAACAACGCTACAAAGGCTCTTTTCAGAGCCACCCACTATTTCTGTTAAACTGGCTGTTATGCTTATACTTTTACTATTCAATATATGCTTTTACTATTCAATATAAACTCGGGGTAAAGATTCATGCCCTGGACAACAGATTACTCCCGTCCGCATATGTAAAGAACAGACCTAGCATAAGTCATCGTAATAAAAAGTTAAAACTTTGGCAGCCACATAGCCATTACTATCCCAGGAAAAGGGGATGGGACGAAGTCCTCCATGTAAAAACGTTGTGTTAAAATATTAAGGAACCTACACACTACTCAACGTTGAATTTTAGAAACATTTTCACGTAAATTATACACACCTTTCACTTTATAGCAAGTATTTTCCCAAATCCTTAATTTTCGCAATTGCACACAACACTTAGATTCTAAAAATCAAATAAAATATGCCCCAAATGCACATTTTCCCAATCGCCACATCTTTGCTTTTAACCATAATCTATTGGAGCTTCATTTCATTGTGTGTCCCTTATTTTAATGTGCAGACGTTAGAATCTGCTAAATTTTGTCACAGTCGGTATAGAAACCAAGGAATAAATAATGACGTCAAAACGCCAACAGTGAAAAACGGGTTGTATTGGTTCATCAAATTCAATGGAGTTTTTAATCCGCGGAAGATGGTAGGAAGACGGACCAATCATAGAAAAGCGCGGGTACTTTTGAATGGTTTTGTGTCCAATCGGTGGTAGCCTGCCTCTATAAAAGCAAGTGGCTCTCGTTTTCGTTTATTCTCAGGAGGTAGCTTCTTGAACTTCTCATGGCTCGCACTAAGCAGACAGCGCGCAAGTCCACGGGCGGCAAGGCCCCTCGCAAGCAGTTGGCCACCAAGGCTGCCCGCAAGAGCGCCCCTGCCACCGGCGGCGTGAAGAAGCCGCACCGCTACCGGCCGGGCACCGTGGCGCTGCGCGAGATCCGGCGCTACCAGAAGTCCACCGAGCTGCTGATCCGCAAGCTGCCGTTCCAGCGGCTGGTGCGCGAGATCGCGCAGGACTTCAAGACCGACCTGCGCTTCCAGAGCTCGGCGGTCATGGCGCTGCAGGAGGCTTCCGAGGCCTACCTGGTGGGGCTGTTCGAGGACACCAACCTGTGCGCCATCCACGCCAAGCGGGTCACCATCATGCCCAAGGACATCCAGCTGGCGCGCCGCATCCGCGGGGAGAGGGCATAAATAAGTCACGAACTTAAGACTGAAACCCAAAGGCTCTTTTAAGAGCCACCCAATTATTCCAGTGAAAGTGGCTGTAAGCAAAGTGTCTTATCCCCTCTGAGAATGTTACCTTAAAATTTAGTTTTCTGGGTAACGTGAAAATTTGTCAGTTTTTGTTATTTTGTGCCCTTGTATGCAATATTGGGTGAGCTAAAGATACTTCTAGTACAGCAGTGCAGTGTCCATTCTAATAGGCTCTTTTTCATAAAACGGGAAAGAGACCCTCATTTCACTAGGAGAAAAGTAGTTTACGAAAGAGAAATCAAAGATTCTGTACCGACAGGAAATCATAGCTGAATTCTGTGCTGACATTGAGAAACTACCTTCCTTCAGCCTCTTCATATAGTTTATTTTCCAACTGCCTCTAGTATAAAAAATAAACTAGGTTTTGCCATTTCTTTGGGTTTTAATTTCCTGAAGGCTACCTTGAGTATAAAACATATGACCTGCATTTGAATTCTCTATTTTTTTATTTACTTGTTTATTTTGGTGGAAGCATAGATTGAATTCAGGCCTTTGCACTTGCTAGGGAAGCACTTTTCTCTACTGAGCCATCTCCCCGGCTCCTCTCTATATTTTTAATCTGTTTTATGTAAATTAATTCTCAGTATAGCTCCAGAATATAGTGGGGTAGAGGTAAAGTTTTACCTTGTATATGTTAAATGTTGTAAGGGCTTAATCCAGAGAGTAATAACAAACTATTGCTGCACCACAAACTGAAATGTATAGCCAATATTCCTTGTGTCTATCAGTTTGACAAGAACAAAATTTTCAGAGAAGAGAAATAATTCAAATTCTGTATGATTGCTTAGATTGAAAAACTTTGTATTAGCACTTCTAGCTATTTCAGAAGAAATGGTTTACTAAGGAACCGTGAACATGTACACGCAGAAGTGTCTGAATACTTTGGAAAACAGAACAAAGAAATTTTTTTTTTTTTTTTTTTTTTTTTTGGAACCGGGGATTGAACTCAGAGCCTTGAGTTTGCTTGTCAAGCGCTTATCCTACTGAGTCATCTCCCCAGCCAAGAAATATTTTTTGACAATCATTTTAAATATGTCATGCATAAAAGAAATTGTCATCATCTTTTGCTTTACCATTTACTGTTATTTTTACAAGACCTATTAGCAAGTAAATACTTTGAAATGAGATGAAAGCAATATCCCAATTTTTGATGTACTTTAAAATCAACACCTAAAAATAACTGTATTTATGTAGCACCCCTTTGTGTTGTGTTCTCTAACATTTTGTTTACATTTAGCTAATCCAAATTATCATAGGTCAATAGTGTGATGACCCCGATTCTAAAAGTGAAAAGAGAAAATGGCAGTTCCAAGGTCACAGTTTTCTCCTGAATGAAAGTCAGATGTGTAAGACTGGCAAAACTCTACCTTCATTTTATCAGGTTCCAGGCTAAACTGGCAATTAAAGGAATTAGTATTCACATGTTGAATTGGATCCATCGCAGCAAACAAAATGCGAAAAGGTAAAGCAACTTAAAAATGACTAAGAAAGACTGGTTTATTTAACAATAAACTAACAATAGTTCATTTGCAGGAAATTCTCTCGCCCTCAATTTCTGTTATTGTGAGTTTCTTGTTTTCCCCTCCCCCTAATACAAGGACATCATTCACATGGGAATTTCAATCTTCTAATACCTTGTTTTAAAGATGCTTTTAACCTGTCTTCATTACCAACAAGACAGAATTGTATATTTCTAACTTATTTAAATGTTTGGCCATTAACGGGGAAGTTCCTAGTAAAATTCTTAGGCAATAATAAGGCTACAAGTTCAAACAAGCAGTGTAGTCAACGCGAGGGAGGAAAACGAGGAAGCAAAAATTTTCAGAGGCCTCAGGTTCTGGCCCAGAGAAGGGCGGAGCCATGAGGACGAGGCAGCGCCTCAAGAGCTCCTCCTCTTGTAGTTCTCAATTAGGTCCGACTACGGCCTATATCAATTCAGGCTGCAGGCCGCAACTTCACTGCGCTTCCTTTCCTATCTACTTCTGAATATGTCTGGTCGCGGTAAGGGAGGCAAAGGCCTCGGCAAGGGCGGCGCCAAGCGCCACCGCAAGGTGCTGCGCGACAACATCCAGGGCATCACCAAGCCCGCCATCCGCCGCCTGGCCCGGCGTGGCGGCGTGAAGCGCATCTCCGGACTCATCTACGAGGAGACGCGCGGGGTGCTCAAGGTCTTCCTGGAGAACGTCATCCGCGACGCCGTCACCTACACGGAGCACGCCAAGCGCAAGACGGTCACCGCCATGGACGTGGTCTACGCGCTCAAGCGCCAGGGACGCACGCTCTACGGCTTCGGAGGCTAGACTTCGTTGGCTTGCTGCTAAAAACTTAACAATCAAAGGCCCTTTTCAGGGCCGCCCAACTACTCGAAAAAGAGCTAACAGCGAAAGATCTCTAAATGTAAGCGTGTGTATCCTGGTGCTCCAGGGTCAAAAAATTAAGACTAAGCAACTACTGTAGTAGAAGGCTTGCAACAACGTTAAGAATGAAACATTTTACGGGTTTTGTCAGTTTTGTGAACAAAGAAAGACTGCCCTATCAGCTAACTCCATTCCTTCTTGCCAGCCTATCAGAGGCGGAGGCTGAATGGAGCCACGCCAGCAGCAGCGAGAAGGGGGATGGGAAAGTGGTGGGCCCTCCGAATTATGAGTTGGGGAAGTGACTTCCCGTTAGGTGTCAACAGTGGGGAGGTTGTAGCCCCCCGTATGAAGATTTGTTTCGGTTATTGAAAACTCGACTCACTGTCAGAGGGTAGCTAGCCTGCTGCAGGGAAGGAATGAAAACCTGGTCTAGAGAGAAACGATGCCTGCTTCTCCGTGGCAGAGCCTTTAAAGAAATTAAGGATACTTTTTTCTTCACAGAATAAAAATTAGGCAGTGTCCTAAAATTCTGGTGGTCGCACAAGTAGAAAATGAAAGTTAATATCATGTAAATTGGTTGAATTTTATGTTGTGTAAGTTAATTTACTGTGTAAGGAGAAGGCAGGAGATGATTAGTAAGGAGAAGTGCTGCTGGCCTGTTAATGTCCTCATGTGCTAGACTCAAGGACTGTATAGACATTGTCTAATTGTCACAAAGAATTTTTAAAAGATCTCTCTCAATACAATTACGTGATTAAATAGTATATATCAGATTTCAGAACTCAGGAAAGTGAGTTCACTTGAGGGCTAATGGAGAAACATCTTACTTGTATCTGAAGAGATACTCAAATGCTCCTCACTGGATTCTTTCAGGTATCATTTTTGTAAGTGGCTGATTTTAGCCTCTCTCTGCTTGCCTTTGTGAGGGTGTCCTTGATACACAGATCCTGTTTTCCACCTGACCATGGTCCTCTAAGATGTGCTGGAGAGGGCCGGGGAGATAGCTCAGTGGCATAAGTGCTTGCCTCGCAATTACAAAGTCCTAAGTATAATCCCTGGTACCACCAAGGGGGGGGGGGGGGATTGCTGGAGAATGATTAAAGTAGCCAGTTTGGCTTAATGAAAAACTGACAATGGAATTCAGAGCTACATCCTGGATAATTCCAACAATTCTGGAGTCAGACAACCAGAAATGGGTCTGGCAGGCAGGACTGTCAGAGTCTGCCCTTTTTAGTTCGTATTCCTTTAAGAGATATTTAATGGTCTCCCCCAATATGCTAGCAAGCACAAGAAAATTCCATGTGCTCATACCCCGAGTCAGTGGTGAAATGGTTCCCTACTTTCCTGAATGGCAGCTATGGTCACAGTTGACTTCTATTCTATACCTGATATTTTTACAGTATTTCAGACCAGTGCTGACAGCACCATAGTCATCTTAGTCTTACCATGCTGTGGGTGGAGGCTTCAGCCTGTAGTTTTTTTCATGTATTTTTTAAAATTGATTTGCTGTTCTTAACCCATTCCTCAAATCTAAAAAGAAACTGCCATGCTGCGGGCTAAATCAATTGTGGTAGCGCTCTTGTAGGCCTGGGGGCCGCCTTGGAGACTTGTTTAAAAGGTCGTACCAGTATGCGTTTAACAAACTTCCATAGACTATAGCTTGGATTTAGGTGTTCTGGGTAGTACAGAAAAAATTCTCACTTTCAAGAAATAATATTCTAGATGAGAAAGAATTGTGAACAAAATAAAATTGAACATATTGTTATAGATTAAATAATATGTTTGCTATTTACGAAAACAAAACAAGTTATTTTACAACACATGGTTTGAGGAGTCTGTTTAATGAGATACATATTTGAGCTGAGTCCTAAAAGAAACGAAGTCCAAAGACAGGCCGATATCTGGTATAAAACATTCCCAGGAAGAAAAAAGTACAAAAAGTGCTATTTGATTTCACTCAGAAAACAGGACCTTGTTTGGCTGGGACTTTTCAGCCTTTAGTACTCACTGAAAGCCCCTAGAAACTACTAAAACTCAGGCACTGAGTGTTCACCATGCTTTGGTGCTGTAGTAAGAATACTGGCTTTTAGCTTAGTATAAAGACATTAGAAAACCACTGGACAAATTTTGAGAAGAGATGAATATCTTTCATGCAGACAAAGATATTCTTGCTGCTAATTAGAGAAGAAACTAGGAGTGTGACATCAACAGAGAAACAAAAAGATGAGTTAGAAGCCACTGCAGTCATCCATACCAAAGACTTATGTGGCTTGACAGAACCAGCAGCCTAGGGACTGAAAGGTGGATTTGGAGCACACAGCTTAAAATAGGATAGATTGGAAGTTGTGAGAAAATTAGATAAACCAGAACTATAAGGTTTCTGGCCTGAGCTGCTGGAAGAATGGAATTCTATTTACTGAAATAAGAGTACAGTGAAGAAAAAAAAAATTGGATTTGTATGTCAAGAAAACTATTTTGGACAACTCTGGCATGCTCATTAGATAGGTATTTAAGTAGATACATTAGGTATGCAGTTGGGTATTTCTGGCCATTAGAGGAAGAGGTTTTCGATGAAGATGGGAGTGGGTAGAAGGAAATTTATAAAATCTGTAGTTAAGGGAAGAAAGGAAGCAAAGAAAGAAAGGAAGAAAGTAAGACAAACAGACACACAGGTAGGCAGGCAGGCAACAATTAGGATGAGAAATAGCTGCAATACCACAATAGGCTCTGGCCGGACTGCAAACCAAGCTGGAACAGATGTAATAGTAACTATTTCACAGAACACAAAACAAATAAGTAATGAAACTGGACACCACTGCCAAGAACAGTGTATAGAGGTGGCAGAACCCTGGCAAAATATAAAAATTCCATGTATTCTACTTTTCTCCATGGCAATTGGATATTTGTTAATATTGCGCTGATATTCCTCTTTATGCGCACAGACCTTTACTATTTATCTAGTTCCTAACAAAATTTTTGTCTACTCACTAACAATGCTAAATTCTTTTATTTCCATTGTCTTATTATTATTCTTTAAAACAGATTTAAAAGAGCAAAAAGGACAAGAAAAAACTAAGGTTTTTTTGAAGTTAATGTTTGCCCAATCTAGCATAATAGATAATCTGAGCAACAAATTTGACAATGCACAACCAGTTTTCTATTCGTTGTTCTGTACCTTTTGTATTATGTTGCTGTTTCTGCCTTGTTTTCCCCTTTAAAAACTCTTAGCTTCCAAACTAGACGCATTTGCATTTAAGTGCCAAATAACCCTACCTTTAATAGAATTTGACTCACATGTCATTTCAATGCATCTCAATTATTTCAAGTTACACAGAACACCCATGTAAATGTCATGGAAACCTACAGATTGTCAGCCCTTCCCCAACTATTTCCCAACTGCTATGGATTGAATCCACGGATTTGTAACCTATAGCGACGCACTGACGTCCAAATTCTTAGTTGTCGCAGACGCTAGTTTTCCCCAACGTGAGGCACACGTTAGTCCCTTCTGCTCACAAGGCACCGTGACTCACTCTCCCCGGTGTCGGCAGTGGTTACTCCGAGGACAGGACGCCACGTCTCGTCTAAGAGAAAACGTGGCTGGGCCTTGTCCACGCCCTCGCCCCGGCGTCCACTGGGAACGCGCTCGTAGCCGCCAGACCACTCTGGAACACCTTCCGCAGTGCCTTCACTCCTTTTGTGAAATGATGGGTGGCCCTGAGAAGGGCCGGTGTTAAAGTAAGGAGAGAAGCCAGTTTTAGCCGCCGAAGCCGTAGAGCGTGCGTCCCTGGCGCTTGAGCGCGTAGACCACGTCCATGGCGGTGACCGTCTTGCGCTTGGCGTGCTCCGTGTAGGTGACGGCGTCGCGGATGACGTTCTCCAGGAAGACCTTGAGCACCCCGCGCGTCTCCTCGTAGATGAGTCCGGAGATGCGCTTCACGCCGCCACGCCGGGCCAGGCGGCGGATGGCGGGCTTGGTGATGCCCTGGATGTTGTCGCGCAGCACCTTGCGGTGGCGCTTGGCGCCGCCCTTGCCGAGGCCTTTGCCTCCCTTACCGCGACCAGACATGAGTGCCTCAGAGAAGAAACAAGTGAGACAGTGCGAGCGAGCCGGTCCTTATATACCCGTGCCCTCCCCCCGCCCCCGCCTGTCGCTGCGGAGTACGGAAAGTGCGCAGGCGCGGGCAGGACGCTCCCGCCCTCCGCCAGCCTCTGCGCTGCAGGAAATGGGAGGAGCAGGCAAGGGCTGGCTAGCAGGCTGCACAGTAATTCCCTAGAGTTTGGAGGGGAACCAAATTTGCGGTATTCTAAATCTAAGCCTATGATTTCAAAAGCATTTAAGTTTCAAGGGTAGATCTTTCATAACTCGACCTTGACCATGAAAGTACCTTTACCGTAGAACTAAGCTTGTGAGAAGCCAGATTTTCTGAATTCAACGCTTTCAGAGCTTTTATAATGTTGTGATATTCGAGACCCACTTCCACCCCTACTAAAAGCCTGTATGTAATTTTATAAAAATAACCGGCAGTCTATTAGACGTTTATACCTTTTTCCATGGTAAAATAAAATGACAACCCTCCAGTAAATGAGAATTAGAACTAAAATTTACAGCTACTTTTCTTGAAAATGTGAGTGGCTCTGAAAAGAGCCTTTGGTTAAACTTGGCAACGCAATTAAGCCCTCTCCCCGCGGATGCGGCGCGCCAGCTGGATGTCCTTGGGCATGATGGTGACCCGCTTGGCGTGGATGGCGCACAGGTTGGTGTCCTCGAACAGCCCCACCAGGTAGGCCTCGCAGGCCTCCTGCAGCGCCATAACGGCCGAGCTCTGGAAGCGCAGATCGGTCTTGAAGTCCTGCGCGATCTCGCGCACCAGCCGCTGGAACGGCAGCTTGCGGATCAGCAGCTCGGTGGACTTCTGGTAGCGCCGGATCTCGCGCAGCGCCACGGTGCCCGGCCGGTAGCGGTGCGGCTTCTTCACGCCGCCGGTGGCCGGCGCGCTCTTGCGGGCGGCCTTGGTGGCCAGCTGCTTGCGCGGGGCCTTGCCGCCGGTGGACTTGCGCGCTGTCTGCTTAGTGCGAGCCATTAGTTAAGTTTACTGAAACCTAAAAGCGGTCAAAGCTGTAGCAAAGGGCGGCATTGGTCCTATTTATAGTGTGCACTGTGTGGTGACTGGACTGTAACGATATGGTCTTATGACGCTTCAGACTCTGATTGGTCTGTTTTGAAACATCCTGCCAATGAATGTTTTCATTGGTTACTAGTTTCAATCCCTAGTCTTGTCAGGTTTTTCGCTTCCTACATTTCTATATAAACCTAAAGCTCTTTGGTTTGGTTTGCCTTCATGTAAAATTAGACATTAGTTCCCATGAAAATTGAAATCAACCAGTTCTGGTTTGGGAAAGATGGAGATAAGTTGATAGTGCCTATCCACTCCGGAAATATTCTGTTTATAATTTGCTGCTCATTTGTCTGATAATAGGGTTTCTGACACCTTTCACAAAATTTGGATTCCATTGTTTTCATTGAGCAAGCATTGTTATGGAACCCTCGGTAGTATATCGTGCCTAGTAAAATTACATCTCGCTCACAGAAACATTTTCTCTAGTAAACTTTGAAGTGTTCATTCTCTTCTGTAATCCTGCAGCCCTTTGAAAGCTATTTTTTTTTCTGCCTAAGGCCTAGCGCAACGCTGTCGGCTAGGTGCAAAATAGTGGTGCCTGCTTCATTTCCCGCCCTGCCGCGAGTCACAGGAGCGCGCCATTCCGACCAGCTGGGTTAGACCAGATGACAAGGAACATTCAGTTTGGGAAAGAGCAGACCTGATAGCTGTCAAACATTAAAATGCTGGCGATTCTTTGGCAGTAACAAGAGGTAAACATAATTCAATGTTTTGATTGGTTATTTCATCCTCCCCAGTGTCTTTTCACAAAGCAGTTCTAGCATCCTTCTTTTGCCTGAAGCCGTTCTATTGTTTATAGGAATGGGAAGCCGAGGTTTAACACCATGGAAACAAAGGAGGGAGGCACAACTATTTAAATAAAATCCTACCGAAACAGACCCAGAGTCAGATTATTTCTCAGTATTTCAGTTCCTGAAAGCTTCATTTTATTAGATGCTTTGTTATTGTATGAAAATTTTGCTCCAAAAAGGATTTACTTAAAAACCTGGCAATCTTTCAACGTTATTTTGTAATCTATCTTTCAAATGAAAATACATGATATTTTTATTTGCTTTGTTCGACGTACTTGGAAATTATGCAATGCATTTTAAGAGATAGCTTCTCAAGAAATGGAAAAGATGCACAAAATACTAGAACTATTAATCAATTATTGTATTCCTAGGCCAGCGTGGACTTTGAAAAATAATATGCATGGAAACATGTTACTGCCTTGTTCTGCCATGCACACCTACCGCCAGCCTGTGGAAGAGGATGAGAACTTAGTAGCATTTTATTCTGTTTATAGCCACTGGTCTGCAATGAAAAGTCATTTTATTTATTTTTCCTTGGATTTTTTTTATTGGTACATTTTATATATACGTAGTGATAGCATTCATCATAGGGGAATTGTACCTTGCTTCACACAATAGTTTCAAGTAAAGAAGGAATAAGGATTTTTTTTTTTTTTTTTTTTTCTTCTGAATGCCTTCAGGGCAGGTTTGGTTGGCTGGAGTTGTGGGAATCGAACCACAGCAATCTGAGCCTGACTGCTTTGTCAGGCAGCCACTTAAAGAACTGAGCTAAGGGGCAGGCCCCTTCAAAAGTCATTTTAGGAAGCTGATGCTTTTCAAAATAAAGGAAGATTGTCCTATAATCTTACCCCAGGGGTCTTCCCTTTTGTCTTCACACAAAAGGGATATAAACTCTTGAGACAATGCCTCTCACAGAACTGGTTCATCCACCTAGCGTGACTGTATTTTTGATGTAATGATGGTGTATTTGTGAGCCCTGCCTGGGAGTCGAATGAAGATGAAGACATTGTGTCATACATCGCTGGTAGGACGGGCTGAGGTGGAACCGAGCTCTCTTCGAGCATGTTTTAAGGCAGGCTAAGGGCACTGCAGATCCGTGAAATGCGTTGGAAGGCCAAAGACAGTTATAACTGTGGAAACGGTTTGTGGAACTCTCCTCCCACGTGGTTACCGAATTGTAGAGTATTCTGATATTTCCTTTGCTCAAAGCATTGAGGGAGGGCATCAGACACTGTTTAGCGAGCCAGGGGCAATGACATCCTAAACCCGCGCTGGCCTACACCTTCGCTTTTACTGCCTCCCCCTTATTCAAAATGTGCTTTTTTCCTCCTGAAAAGCTAGATGCGAACATCCCTGCGGAAGCATCCTCTAGTAGCTTTAACCTAAATTCCTCGGATGTGATTGCCCCATTTACAAAGAGCTCCCCTTTGCTCCCCGGAACGGCTTTCTAAAGAGATAGCGCTCTAAAGTTAATGGGCAGCACAGCCCGACTGGACTTCGCCTGAATTCCACTTTTGCAAGGCCAGATTTCGAGGAGCGTCTGCGAACGTTGAGGACAGCAAGACTTGAGCCCTCCAGGAAAACCCGGGAAGGCCCGCAGCCGCTCAGGTGGCGTTGCGGATTGGGGGCGGTGCCAGCGCGCACCAATCACCGCGCGGCCCTGCTCTATAAATAGGCGTTGCCGTGCGGGCCGCGCGCTCTTAATCAGTGGGTCTTCCTCTTTGCTCTTTGTTTTTATTTTTTAATGTTAGTCGCCATGTCTGAAACAGTACCGGTCGCACAGCCAGCTTCAACGGCCCCCGAGAAGCCGGCAGCTGCGAAGAAAGCCAAGAAGCCTGCTAAGGCTTCGGCAGCTGCTAAAAAAAAGCCCGCGGGCCCTTCTGTGTCTGAGCTTATCGTGCAGGCGGTCTCCTCCTCCAAGGAGCGCAGCGGGGTGTCGCTGGCCGCGCTCAAGAAGACCTTGGCGGCTGCCGGCTACGATGTGGAGAAGAACAACAGCCGCATCAAGCTGGGGCTGAAGAGCCTGGTGAGCAAGGGCACCCTGGTGCAGACCAAGGGCACCGGCGCCTCCGGCTCGTTCAAGCTCAACAAGAAGGCGGCTTCCGGGGAGGCCAAGCCCACCGCCGCCAAAGTTGCGGTGAAAACCAAGGCAGCGGGCACCCCCAAGAAGCCGAAGAAGGCTCCGGCCGCCGCCGCGAAGAGGGCGGTTAAGACGCCCAAGAAGGCCAAGAAGCCCGCGCTGGCCAAGAAGCCTTCCAAGAGCCCGAAGAAGCCGAAGGTCGTGAAGCCCAAGAAGGTAGCTAAAAGCCCTGCGAAGGCCAAGGCCGTGAAGCCCAAAGCGGCTAAGGCCAAGGTGATTAAGCCGAAGGCTGCCAAGTCCAAAAAGGCAGCGCCCAAGAAAAAGTGAGAGCAGTCTGGTTGGAAGATCCTTCCGGTTACCCAACGGCTCTTTTAAGAGCCACCATTACATAGTTCAGGAAAGAGCTTAGCATTCGTTGGCGGCGAGACGACGTTGGGCAGCCGAACCTAACTTGGGGTATCCACCGGCAGTCCGAGTTGAGCGTTTTCCGGGTTTTTTCAGTTTTGGGAGTTAAACCCTTCTCTGCATATTAGAAACGCCTGGGGAGCTTAGCCCACGTCCTCAACTAGTGAAAGGTTATTAGGGTAAAGCGGCCCGGGCTGGGGCGTGTACCCTGTGCTTACTGCCTGCACAAATTTGTGTTTTAAGGACACGTTGCATTCCTGTGCCAGTACTGCTAAGATAGCTTGGATCTGGGCAGACCTGAAAGGCTGGCACGCAGGGGTAGTGGGGCTACACCTGCCTCGGTGTGGGGGCGTGGATGGAACTGTCCTAGGAAGGGCTGGTGGGCCGGCGAAGTAGTTTGTGTCCTTGAGCCCAGCTGGTCCGCCGCCTCAAGCAGCGCCGTCACTACAGCTGGTGTCTGGGTTAGGAGACCTCAGTTGTAAAGGGCCTAGACCAAGACCCCTTCATGTTTCTGTAAGATCCCTTAAAGAAAACATCTCCCTGACGGGGTATTTCAAAAGTTCAGTGTGGAAGGAACCGGATGATACTTCATCTGTTGGGTTTTCAGTTCTGGAGGAGTCCTCAAAACACTGGGAGGCTTTCACAGGATGCCCTTGTTGGCCCCTGGTGGTAGATGGAAGGTCAGAGATTTAGCAGGGTGAGGTCCACATGTACAAGACCCAACAGGCAGCCTGGAGTGGAGCAGACCAGAGCGCAAGGGCAGCCTGAGTCTGTAATTCTTGCACAGGTCATTTCATATTTACATTCTTGCATAGTGCCCTAAGCAGTACATGCATGTTTACCTGTGCTAAGTCGACTGTATCCCACTGCGTGGGGTCACGTCCTCAGGTGTCCTTAGAAGCCCCTGGGCTTTGAAGCCGTCTGAGTGGTTCCCTACACCCGTTTCAGCTTTTGTAGTTCATAATTCTAGACTCACATTTTAATTACTTGTCTATCCTGGATGCTTAAAGCCTTTCTCCTGAGGGGAAAATATTAGTCACAGAAGACTCCAACATTCATCAAAACTTTTTTAAAAAACAAAACTATAGCAGGGATATAGCTCGGTGGCACAAGCACCTGCTTGGCAAGCTCAAGGTGAGTTGAATTCCTGGTTAAAAAAAAAAAAAGGAAACCATTGTATATAAATAAAACCCTAAAACTAACCTGTGTCAGCAAGTAAACACAGCAACTGACTAGTCAAAAAATAGAGTAGCTGCCAGTCCACCCAGATTTTTTATTTTCCCTAAATAAAACCACTGGCCTAATTCCTAGCATTAATGTTATGTTTTTGAAACTTACATAAAAAATGGAAATAAAACTATACTTTTGTAGAACCTTAGATTTGAACAGATTCATGTTCTGCCGTGTATAACTTTATTCATTTCTAATGAATTCAATTTAATTTCATCTTAATTCATATTTTATGATTGCAGCACAGTCTAGGTAGCTAGTCCTCCACCGATGGATGTTCTTTCTAGTTATGACAAAGTGAACATTCTTGTGCATAAATCTGGGTTGTATATACATATCTCTTTATTTTTATATCCCTGAAAAGAATCATCTGATCAAGTAATAAAGTGGTATGAATGAAAAAAAAAAAAACCCATAGAAGATACAGTATAGAGAAACCTCACAAATTATTGAGTAAAATCTATAATTTCTGTAGTTCCACATCCTTCCCACTAAGTTTTGTTTTTATATTTTGTATCTGTTATTTTTAATTTTTGCTTTTACTTTGCTTTATGTGTGTGTGTTTTACTTTTAGGAAACAAGTTCCAGCTGTGTTGCCCAGGCTGTCCTTGAGCTCATGTTCCTCCTGTCTTAGACTCCCAGATTGCTGGGGGTGCAGGCCTGCACCATCCAAGCTAGCTCTTAGTCTTTAATGGTCCTATCTGGCAAGTATGCAGAGGTAGGTCACTTTTTATTTCATATATTATACTCCCTCACCTTATTAAAAAAAAATTGAGTTGTGTTAGTCTATGTGGACTGTTATAGCTAAACACCCCAGGATGGATAGTTTAAATAAAAGTAATTAGTTTTCCTAATTCTGGGGGCCAGAAATTTCAAGTGGAGGTGCAACCTTTGGTGAGAGCTATCTGCCTGGGCCACATTATCCCCATGTCGTCCATATTCATACCTAGGGAGTGTGAGCTCATGTTTCTTCCTCCTCTTATAAGGACAATAGAGCTATCTGAGTAGGACCCCACCATTATGACCTGATTTAACCTTAATTATCTTTCTGAAGGCCTGGTCTCTAAATCTGGTCCACTTAGAGGTTACAGTTTCAATATGTGGGGATGGAAGTGCAATTCTGCTCATGACAGGTTGTTTTGTTTGCTGTTTTAAAATAATTATTTTTCTCTTTTTAATTCTGGCACAAGCCCTCTGCCCAGTACATTTTATGTGCTGCAGATATCTTTTCATTCTTCTAAAAAATGTTTTTGATAACGTACTGTAAGTTAATCACAGTGCTTTTTCAGGCTAAAACTTTTTGCATATCTTGAGTTATTTTCTATGCCAAGGTCCCATTTTTATATTCTTGTGACATTAGGAGAGCAATCATAGTTCTGAAACTACCTGTTCTTTTAATGCCATTTTTAAGTTGCTGGAGATGCAACTAAACTGCAGTTAATAATATGCTGGAAATATTCATTATTTGCAGTTAGTTATTGCCCAGGGAGGACATTGATTAAAGTTAGCAATGAAAGAAACACATAACGAACTGTTATATACTGACCTGGCACCTTATTCTCCCCTCTTCTCAAGAAGATATGTTTAATTTCTAACTCCTAGTATCTCAGGATGTGGCCCTCTTTGGAAATAGGGTTACTGCAGATGTCACAATGAGGTCATAGTGGAGCACCATGAGCTGATGATAAAAAGAGGAACTAGTGTCCTTGTAAGGTGGCCACATGACAGAGACACAGAGATTCATGACAGGGGTGACAAAGATAGAGACAGGTGCCCCCCGAAACTGGGTGTGGTGGCACATGCTTATAATCCCAGCATTGGAGAAGCTGAGACAGGAGATCACTAGGAGTCTGGTATGTAGTGAGAACCTGAATCAAACAAATAAATAAATAAATAAATAAATAAATAAATAAATAAATACCATAGTCATGCAGCTGCAAGCCAAGGTGTCCCACAGGTTGCCAGAAACTTCCAGGAGTTCAGGACAGTCACAGTTCTGCTGATTCCTAGATTCAGATTTCTCTCCTTCAAAACTGAAAGACAATAAGTGTGTTGCTTTAAGCTACCACCCCTTCTTTGGCACTTTGTTTTTTGTTATAGAAGCTCTAGGACATTCAGGCACACTGCAAGGAAGTTCCCACTGTGAACATCCAAGCTTGTCCAAGTGCTGTATGAACACTGTCACTTCCCAGCATTAACTCACGGTGGGACACAGAGTTCCTGCCCATGCAAGAAGCTCACTGGAGCCTTAGTGGCTGGAGTTTTTGTTGGAGTTCTGTGTTTGGTTACTCACAGGGCTGACTTTAAGTCTCCATCCCCTCCAGAAGTCCAGCAGATACTGGTGGCCTAAAACTGCTATCATTGTTGCCTCATTGACTGTCTCGGGCCAATAACTCCAGTTAAATAAAGGCAGTCAGTCTTACAGAGTAGGACATTCCAAGAGCCTAGAGGTCACCTCCAAGAAGTTGAGGGGAAATCCAGTACCTTTTTTTGGTTAAGGTTAAATTCCTACTGCACATTCTTAGAAGGTAGGCTTCACATTTACATCTAGTGAGATTCTTTTACGTGTATTGTATGAGGTAGGGGTTAATTTTTTTTTATTTTTTATTTCTCTTAATAAAATAATATGAAACTGTCTCCATAGTGTCTATTTCTAAAAGTCATTTTTTTTCCTCATTATTTTATCATGCCATTTTATTTAGGAACCATAGACCAACATTTGTGTGGACCTGCCCATGGGCTGCTTGTCTGTATGGTCCTGTTTGTTCCATTGGTTGGTTTGTCTGCTTTTGCACCAATGCCAGAATGTTTATTGTCACTTTATTAGTTTTAATTTTCCATAGAAACTTCAATAATTCCTAGGCTATTCTTGGTCTTTTATATTTTCTTATTGACTATGGACCCTGTTGGATAATTCCTACAGTCTTGCTGGGAATATGATTATGATTGCATTGAATTAATGGATCATTTGGGAGCTACTGATACTATTAAAATATGGAGTAATTCTGCTGTACATATTTTCCTTTTATTATTTAAGTTTTTAGTTTAATTTCTAATTGAAAATCTAGATATAGTAGAAAATATTAGTAACTTTTGTTTAGTTTTTAATGGAAAAAAATCACACGATATTTGACCAAATGAGAAAAAAATTGAAACCAACTTCATAGGTAGAAGCTAATATCACAAATATATAATACAGAATTTCAATATACTACTAAAAAAGACAACAACACTTAGAAAAATGGGTAAAAGAAATGACTACATAAAAAGTAAAATTAAACATGATCTCAGTCTTGCTCACAATAAGAAAAATGCAGATTAAAAACTACCCTGGAATACAACTTCTCAACTTCAACTTGAGAAAAATATACCAACTTTGACAATTCCAAAGTTGCAGACTTTCTTTACAACATGCTGTAGGAAATATGCAGACACTCTCCAATACTGCTGGCACTATCCCTATGGAGAAGAGTTTAGCAATATCTAATAAGATGACATAACCTATTTAACTCTTAAGCCAGAATGCCTACATTTAGGAATTATTTAAAAGATACTGAAGGGAACAATACTAAATTGGCTGTGGTGGTATCACCTGTAATCCCAGATACTAGGTCGCAAGACCGGGGAAGGGGTTCTAAAAACTTTGAGGCAGGCCTAGACAACTTAGTAAGATCCTGTCCCAAAATTTTTGAGAAAGGATTAGAAATGTAGCACATTGTGAGGTCCTGTGTTTAATTCCCAACACTATAAAGAACAAACAAAAAACTAAATGAAATATGCATGTGGCCATTCACTGCATATAGTACTATTTGTTGTTCCTCTGGCTATTTTTATTTCTCATTCCCAGGTGCCTCTGTAATATTTCTTTCAGGAGAATAAGATATCATAGTGCCATGTGACAAAAGAATGTTCTTCACAGAAAATTTAGGCCTCAAGTAGTTACTTATATAGCCTTCAGCTGTGTAGTTGTGGGCATATGAGACCAAACATTGAATGTGAAATACAGATACAAAACTGTAGAGATCCAAGGCTATGTCCTACATTTCTAAGTAGCAAAACTAATATCAAAACTAATATCAATAGTAAGTATCATGGTCAGGGAAGCCCTGGGTGAGAGGAGGAGCCAGTGGGAGGATCTTAGCATCCACAGTGGTCCTGTACCTGGAGGGAGGAAGTCATCAAACAGGTAAGACACAGAGGGCTCCTTGGTGTGTAAGGAGAAGCAAAAGTGACCACTATCCAAGCTTCTGTGCTTGTCCTCCGCAGTCCCTACCTTATACGTCATTATTTCCTTCACTAAATGTCTATCAAAGTGAACAAGAGGTTTTATGGTTTATCATCATTGTCTGGTGTTAGGCCCTGGGATGAGAATTGGCTTCACACTGTCTGTGTGGGAGTACAGCAGAATACCTACAACTAAGTAATTTATAGCCAACAGAAATTTATGTGTCAGTTCTGGAGGTTGGGATGCCCAAGAGCATGATGCTGGCATGTGGTGTGGACCTCACTATGTCATTCCAAGGCAGAGATAGGGAAGAAGGGCAAGAGAACAGAGGGGCTGAACTCACTTTTATTCCAAATCTATCTCTTGATAACAAACCTGCTACCATGATAACAATCCATTCATGAGGGTAAAACATTCATGTTCTAATCACCCTTTCAAAGCCTTCCTTTTTACACTTTGCAAAGTCTCTAACATGTGTACTTGGAAGGACACTTTCAAACCATAGTATTGTGCATCACTGTGGCTAATTTTTTCATCCTCCTCCAAGACGGAGGCCAAGTTGGGAGACCAAACATCAGAAGTATTACTCCTGAGTGACAGAAGCCAGTGCCCAAAAGGAGAACCTATTATCCAGCTGTCAGGATGTAAGGGTACAGAAATTGCCCAGGTCTTGGAGGTTGAAAGATCTACCACTTCCTGAACCCTGATATTTGACTACCTAGTGTCCCAGGAATCTAGTTTTCTTGGCTACAACCTGAGATAACAGTATCCTCACATCACTGGATAGAAGTGTGCTGTCTGTGTTATGTGACAATAGAATTGTTAGCTCAGTAAGTATTTAGAATTAAATTATATAAACCTCTAACAACATACATATTTTTAAAGTTAACAAATACCCAGCAGTCCCAATATTTCAGTTATTGCTGTTGCTCACACCTCACAACTCCATGGCGAGCTACTGTGCATTCCTTTGCAATTCCGTGTGAGTCACACTCGTAGTCTAAAAGTGTATGATGGTGGGAGTAATGGTGCAAAGAGAAGGGCAGACACTACAAATCAGGGGCTGCTTGGTTTTATTTGAATCTATGTAGAGTAGGTACCAGTGCCCACTATAGGCTGCTCATGCTCTGCGCCACTGGTACATCTATGGAAAACAATGTGGCTGAAGCTATTCCTGCCAACTGTTGCTGCCAGTTGGAACCCTTGCTGTGGTGCATACACAAAATGTGAACAGAAAGTGAGTGAGAAGTCTCTTGCCAGTACTGTCCTCTAGGACCTATTGGGAGATGCTGGTAGCAAACCTCCATCAATGAAGTTAGAAGAAACTAAACCTTCATGAGTAGGTTGGGGTGGAATCGTCACCTCTGACCACCCTGAGCTGCCTCATATTTCTTGCTGCTCCATTCAGGTCTGTCATACCTATTCTATTCACCATATTCTCTTTTGTACTCTATTTAATTTATCCTTTTTAGCATCCTAAAATGACACTTCTT